TCTGCCTCTCCATCCTCTCTGCTCCAATGTCACCGTTCCTCGGTCCATAGAGTTTCGAGAATCGCAATGGACCCGCTCTCCATCAGCGTCGCGGTACTGTCCATTACAGAATGCATCCGCAAGACATCGACCTCGATCACCGACTTCATCCGGACCGTCCGAAGTGCCCGACCAGATCTCGCAGAAACGTCGCGACAGCTTCGTGAGCTGGACACGATCCTCAAACCCCTCCGCGGCGACGACACCGAAGGCGTCCCAGAGAACCCCCGCTCCAGCATCAAACCCGTTCTCATCAACTGCGAATCCATCCTCGACGAAATCACAGATGTGTTGGACAAGCATAAAACAAGCCGTCTCGGAGCTGTGAGATGGGCCAGCTCCGGCAAGAGCGAAGTTGCCAAATTGAACGCTCAATTGGGAGCATACCTCCGCACGCTCGGCCTTGCCATAGGAGTCACTACGCTGTAATTTCTCTTTCCATATATTCCTGCTCAAATGCAACAGCATCTAACAGATGGCCTTCCTTAGAACTCAAGGGCAAGACATTAAAAACGACACTCGGCACATACCCCCACTTCGAGACGATGTTGCAGAGATCCTGCACGGGATGGCCGAACTCAAAGTCGAAGTTGCTGAACTCAAATCCACTCTGCCACCAGCGCTTCGCGGGAGGACTTACCTATTGGATACATTTCTGGACTCGCTCACGACATATACCGAATCTATAGTGGACGCACAATCTGTTCGCGGCAATGACGACGACGATGCTGATGATGATTATGACGAGGATTTCAACGACCAGGATAGCGACGACTACGATGAGACTGTTATAGAAAGCTGGGCTCTTCGCGTAGCGGCCGAAACTGGACGGCCCGAGACCCAGCAACCACCATACAGGTAGGCTGAGTCCTTAAACCCTACATATCTAGGAATAATAAATCTAACTGTGTACCCAAAGCCGTTCCCGTCAGATCAGACTCCCCGAAAGCGGTCCACTCCCTACTTCCACACAAGACAAAACCAGATCTTCGGGGTTTGCATCCGCCTCGGCAACTGTGAAGCAACCTTGGCGGAATGCCCGTAGCCCAATATTTGCAACGTCAATCGATAGCAAATCCCGCTACATCCCCGTCGCTCTTTCACCGGATGGCAAGATGCTGGCGGTGGAAGACCCGGGATTTCGACTTCCCTATACAACTCTCGACTCAGACACGCTGGTAGCGGTTTATGAAACCCACTCTGCCAGGTGGATCACGGACATTGTGATATTCGACAGTTTTATCACCGGGATGGAATTCTCGCCCGATGGCAAGATATTTGCCATCATTCATGGCCGATGCATTGCTGTTTTCGACACTTGGAGCTGGAAAAGCCTTGACGAATTCCAGTTCGCAGAGAACGGAAACTTAGGCTCTCTCCGTTTCTTTGAAAGAGACAAGATAGCCGTCTGGTTCAGCCGTGACATACTGATTTATCAAGTTTCAGAAAACGGTACGTTACGGCTAGAAGCTGCTGTGCGGTGTGAGAAAGTCCCCCGTGCGCTACAAGACGTAGGTTTTCATGACGATGGGTATTATGGCTGGGAACAATCTCCAACCGCAGACCTTTTTATTGAGCGGATCGAAACGTCTCCTGGGGGTTTCGATAGCTCCGGGAGTGGCTACCGCGTTGCCGGCGTCACACGACTGTCCAGTTCGGAGCCTTCGAGACAAGAACGAACCCGGTATGGCCTTCAATGGCATCAACCAGGCCAACAAGCCCCCGGGCGTACGAGCCTATACCCATTCTTTAGTTCGCTACCGGGGGGGCACCGGCTTATTCGGTCGGGGCCTGGGTCCAACGGGCCAACCACCTACGAATGGCGCGGGGAAATGAATCAGCTTCAGTGCTTGACTGTTTCTCCCGCAAGCCAAACTCCACCACGGACCATTTCGCCGTTCTCATCGATCGGACTGGACCCGCCCCTAGATACCCACCTGCTAGACGTGGACGCTGGGCCTGGCCGCGAGCTAGCCCTCCTGCGACGCGTCCCTGAGACTTCCGAATGGGATCGTGGTTCAGTCTCTCTGATTAGCAGCTTCTTCATCAAGGTCCAGATTGTTGATCTTGCCAGCCTGGAGGCTACCTGCATCTTCGAGCTGGAGAAAAGGGGGCCGCTATACACTTGGTTGGAGGAAGGGAAGATATGTGCAGAGAGCAAAATGGTTTGGCTCCGGTTCCGAGTCAATTGCACTGCGGAAGATCTGGTCAGATTTCCGGAGTTCCGGGCGCGCCACTTGGATATTAACGGCAAACTTACCGCCACCCCAAACCAAGTCGTCGAAGTTTGGCCTCTGCAGTTGTGAAGGGGTCTTGAGCACCGTCACCTAGGTATTTACCCAAGATACCTGAGTACCACACACACACACACGCACGCACACACAACAGAGAGAGAGAGAGAGGCACACACCTAGGTACCTACACACGTACACAATTATACGCAATTCAAGTAACAATTCAAGTAAGCTCTGCACACAAGCACACACTCACACCAGCACACACGCACACACACACACACACAGACAGACAGACAGACAGACAGACAGACAGACACATAGAGAGAGAGAGAGCGAGGGGAGGAGGGAGACAGGGGCACACTACCCACGTACACATGGATTATACGCAACTTAAACTCAGTTCTACACACGCTATTAACGATTTTATGCAACACTCACTCTCAGTCAGCATCATGGTACTTGGACTCAATATTACATTCATCCTCATACGGCGGGGAGAAGACGGAGGACACATAATAAACAGTACACCGGGGGCTACAACATTACATGACTTGAGACTAGATAGCTAACAGGTAGGTACCTAAGCACATACATTGGCAGCCGTATCATCAAAAATCACACGGGGTCGTCAGACAGGTCACTTTCACTTGGGCATAGCATATTAGGGGACCGATTGGGGGGGGGGGACAACAACATAGCACATGGGACAAAGGGTCACACAGTCAGGTCACACACAGTCACACACAGTCACATAAGCAAAGCAGGCAAGGGAAGGCAGAGAGAGTTGAGAAGAGAAGTTGGTTTTTTTTTATTGATCATGTTTCTTGTTCGCTACCTAGGGTTCTTGGAACTTGTTTCAAGCATGCATGATGTTTTTTGGGGGGTGTTTACAAGGTTTGCTCATCCGACAAGAGACAAAGAAAGGAAAGGGAGGACCGGGGTGGTCAAAAGAGTGTGTTGATTGGAACTTGTTTCGAACAAAGATTTTTTTTGTGGGTTTTTCTGATTTTTCCGTTTTTTTGTGCCTCTGTGTTTTTTTGTTCTTTTCTTGAGAAAAGGAAAAGGAAAAGACTCAAGGAAAGGAGACAGACCATGCGGTCAAGCACCAACTCACCTAGTTACCGTTACCAGCACCATCAGCAGCACCATCATCATCCTCAGGATGCTCCTGGAGCTGACCAAGCAAAGGAGAGAAGTCGGGCGTATACCAAGCCGGCCAGTTCTCGATCTGCTCATTCAGGTCGCGATACCAGATGTTGACGCGTCTGCGCAGGCTCTCAAAGGTGCGCAGCAGGTCCTCGTCGGGGATGTCGAGGCCAGGATGTTGCTTGACGTGGTGGTCCCGGTACCTGCGCAGGCTGCGGAAGCCGGTGTAGCTCGGGTGGTTGGAGCCCGAGTCCTCGCAGTAGTAGCAGGGTATGCCGAAGTGGTTGAGGAGGAAGAAGAACATGTAGGCCTCCTCCTCGATGTTGGTGGGATGCCGGGGCTCCACACCGTTGCGCGGCGCGTGCGCGTCGGCGTAGTGGCGGAAGAGCATCATGAGACCCACGCAGGGGAGGTTGCAGGTGGAGACGGGGCAGTTTGTGACCTCCATTTTTGGGGTCACTGGTGGGTGGAGGGGTGATGAGTTTGGTGATGAGATGAGGGGTGGTGGATGTATGTGATAAGAGGGGGAGATGTGTGTGATGATGAGGAGGAGGAGGAAGTTGGTTGGTGGGAGGGGGGGACCTGGTGCTTATATAGATATTTGGGGGGGTGTTGAACAGTTGAGGCTATCGCCATCTCAGTAATGTTGAAATATCTCAGCCTAGTTGAGGTGTGGACAGCGTGTGTGAGTTACACATAGGTGCTGTTGAGATCCGGACAGTACTTATGTGTGAGTTGGAGATCAGTGATGTCAATATGCGAGCAGTGCGTGTGAGGGAGATCAGTGGTGTTGAGATGTGAACAGTGTATATAAGCTGTGGACAGTGTATATAAGTTAGGGTTGAGTGGTGTTAAGATGCGGACAGTATATGTAAGTCAAAGATAAGCAGCATTGATATGCGGATAGTGCATAAGGTATGAGTTGGAGATCAGCGGTGCTGTCCCGGGGCTAGGCGGACGGAAGATCACTAGATCCCTTTCTAAACGATTGCACTGTCCATACTCATAGTAGATGTATCTGTTTGTTCGGGGCCTTGGGTAAATTCAGCCCATCATTTTCTGCCTCGGCTTCGGTCCAACATACAAGGTATCTGCTAGGTTCACACCGGATCAACGCGTGCCGCAGTGTCTCTCCACCTCTCTGTTGAAGATATGCTTTGTTCTATTGACAAGCCTGGCCCAGAATCCCACAGATGCGGGGAAAAGAAGAAGTCAACTGCTTTGTTGAACCGCCTCGGCGGCGCCTCTCAGAGTCTGAGCACTGGCAGTGGAATGGTCACTGAACCCCCCAAAACAGGGTTGGGCATCGCCCCTAGGTATGTAGAGATCTGAACCGGAACCATCGCCATAAGGTAGTCCTCACACTGCCTTCCGAATTTTATCAACCACGAAAACCCCTCAAAAAGCATACCTAGGTGGGCAAGTGCTGCGTCCGGCACAAGGCACTCCTTACCTAAATAAGAATCCAGAAAATCAACCCAGAATCCAAACTCTGCACACTCTCTTCGGGCTGTCATCAAAGTGCTTGAAGGCTCCACGAAAAAAAAAAAAAGTGGATATGTGTAAACCGGCAAAAACTGACAAGGGCGAGATTCGAACTCGCGCCCCATTTCTGAGACCAGGAAGTAAGTAGACAGCAGACCAAGTTATTACGAGCTTGGAATACTTTTCACGAATTCAGGTGGTCCTGAACCTGGCGCCTTGGACCGCTCGGCCACCTTGCCATGCGCTGCTGATATTTTATTGATATGGTGTTTTCGACTACCAATGTTCGGGTAGGTACTGCACCGGGTGTGTTAAGCAATTGACAACGGACAATGCATTTGCGGAGCGAACTTTTGACAATTTGCAATTCGGGTTCTCGAGAATTGACGGAAGTTGAGACATTGCGGCTGCAACGAAAGATTGGAATGGCAATACAGTGCCTTTCGTCCCAACGTCCCTTCAGCCTTGCAATCCGCTCCACCGCGTTGAGCCGCCCGCCACTTGGCGGCCTTTTCTCCCGCTTCATTCTCATCGCCAATGGCACTTTGCGCCAGAAAAAAAAGCCAATTGGACATTGACAAAAGCATTATGTACTGTGCCCTGAGCCCACCCCGTCTACGTCCCTCGCGGTTCCCGCGGACGGTGATGATCTTGATCGGCGGCCCAAAAACGTCCTCATCGACGACAACGACAACACAGCCTAGTATTCCAAACCGGCAACCGGACCCGACCACAAGAAAATTCTCTACGATTTCCAATCTGCTCAAGGTCGACACCATCCCGCAATTACCTGCAGACCTATCCAACGTTGGAGATACAACCGAGAACTGACGCGCTGCACCTCCCTCTGCCTTTGTCCCACCTCCTTCAGCCATACCACTTTCAAGTATCTGGTTTTTCATCACACAAAGGAAAAAAGTCCACCCCACCCTCGAGAGCTAAATCCATCCGAGTGTTGTTGCAAGGGCAAAAGATAAACAAAAAAAGGAGCTCCTCCGGTAAGGATCGAACTTACAGCCTCCAGATTAACAGTCTGACGCGCTAGCCAATTGCGCCACGGAGGATTGACAACTGATGAGTTGTCTACCCATTGAGTTGGAAACAGTGCCTGCTATTCCACATTATAGCTGGGAACACACCGCTAAGTCTAGAACAAAGTTGCTTGTCCTCCGCGTCCCGCCGCATCCACATTTCAACTCACCAGCTCCAGGCACACCAACAATGCTATATCTCAGTCAGTATAATTGTCCGACTCCACAGATCTGCATCACAAATTGAACCCCAAGAAAACATCCTCACTGCACAGGCAAACATTCGTGAACAACTGACATTGTATTGTCACAGCATCTCGGTGCAGCAACGTTGTGGTATCCATAGACTACATGCCATTCCTCCTCCTCCCGCCACTCTTACTCCTCGCCACGTGCGCCTTCAGCGTTCTCCTCGTCTCCACAAGAGACCGCTTGTTCTTCGCCCGCGCCTTGCCAATCGTCATGAGGAAGTTCTTCTTGCGCGCCTTCTCCTTGTTCGTCGAACTCTTGCCCTCCGCCTCCTTCTTGGACTTCCGGATAGCCTGCGTCGACTTGTGCTCCTCGCGAGATGGTTTGCCCTCCTTGGCCAGGGCCACCCTCTCCTCCTTGGTCGATTTCTTGCCCAGCTGCGCAGGAAGCTCGATATCGTCCGCCGTGACGCCTTCATCAATATGTTTCGCAATGAGCTCCTTCTGCCTCTTCGACTTGCTGCCAAGGGCCTTGTCGACCTGTGCTTCTCTGCGGAGCTCCTGCAACTTGGCCAGATCTGCCGGCGTGAGGATCGTCGTCGTGGCGAGCTTCGATAACCTCGTCGCTTCGGCTGCATCCTTAGCGGTCTCTTCATCCACAAGGTCTGGAACCTCAGAATCGGTCCTCTGTCGTTTCTTCGCCGGTTCATCTTCCTCAGAATCGCTGACATTGATCCAGCCCGTGGAAGAATCATCGCTATCCGACGACCCAATTTCCCACTCGTCGGAATTAAACCCATCATCGTCAGAGTCCTTATCCTCATCCCCCTCAACATCATTCTCGGCACGCTTCTTCTCCTTTTGCTCCTCTTTGTATTTTTCGAGAAGCTCGATACCCTCGATACCGCCCTGCTCTTCCTCGCCAAATTTCCGCTGCTTGACCTCCCCGGAGCGAAGCCCCATGGTTGCCTCCTTGCCGCGGTACTTCTTCTGCAGGAGTTCCGGATACACCTCCCGATATAGAGACTGAAGACCCTTGGCGGCCATCACCACGCCCTTGTCCTTGCTCCTCTGGTACATCACCAAGTCCTGGAGAAGCGTTTCGTTCATACAGAGGGGTTGCCGAATCGCGATCTCGCGGATGGCATTGATGCCTGCAGCTGCAACCTCGGACGCTGACGCCTCCGACACAAACTCATTGGCGATCTTGACCACCAGCGGCTCAATGGCATCTGGCGGTACCAGGTTATGTGTCCCCTGGGCCAGGGACGCAAGGAACGATGTGACATTCGCCTGCTTGGGCGTGAGGTACCGGGCGAACCAAGAGTAGAGCGAGATGATTGTGAGCTTGTGCAAACCGACCAGCCGCGTGACAAGCTGGAGCACAAGCAGTTTGTTCTCGAGGGTGAACTTGTTCTTGGTGTTTTGGAGATGTTTCTGGAACAGTTTCTCCGCAAACCCCTGGGGATCATGTATGAGATGCAGGGCGGAAAAGTTCAGTGGGTGTGGTGCGTTCTTCTTCCGTTCTTGCCTGGTGGGTGTTAGATCATATCTGCAGTCCCAACAAGTCCACGTACCTCTTGACTTTCTCCATTGCCTTCTCCACCGCCTTGGCCCGCTTCTTGGTCTTCTTGTTGATGCCCGACTGGTGCTTGATCTTCTTAATGTCAACGTCTTCGTCACTCGAGTCATCTTCCAGCTCTTCTCGCTCCTTGTCTCCTCCCAGGAAGAAACGCACGCCCCCGACAACGACCTTCTCATTGTCGCTCAGACAGGCCTCCTTCATGACGTCGCAAGGCTTCGCGTCGGTCCATATTTGGCGGCGCCACAGTTCTCTCGTGATTCTTGTAGCCCACATGCCCTTGGTCGAGGTTCGATCGGAGGTTACGAGATTGTGAAGAACGGTCTGGATCGTGCGGTTGAGGCGGTGGTTTGTCGTCTTCGAGTTCGACTCCCTCAGGTCGCTGATGATCTTCGTATACAAGAGGGACCGGAGGGTCTTGCTTGGTGTCTGAGTGGACCAAAGTCAGCGCAAGCTGGCAACATCACACGCCAGCAACCTACCGAGATCAAAATCGGGAACAGGGTCGTCAGCAAGCTGGTCGAGTCGATCACGTCTTTCCTCCGGAGCAACACCAGACTGCCGACAACCTTCTCGCGCAGTTCCTTGTCGAGGATCGCATGGTGGCGATTGAGCAATTCCTTCAGGTGGTCGGGGTAAGCGGCGGTGAGGTCGGGGTAGAGGTCGGCGACGTGCGCGACGAGATCGACGAGGTCGTGGAACTTCTTGATATCGTCGCCTGACGCCGTCGACGGGGAAGAGATAAAAATCTGTCGCTGGGCGTCGTATGCAAGCCACTGGGAAAATTAGCACCTGGATTGCGCGAACATCGAGCTCGGGACTACCTGGTCGTAAAATTCCTGGGCATAGGACCTGCGACAAGTCAGCAATTGGTGGAAGCAGTATGTGCGCGCGACGCAGGCTTACTTGGGATCTCTCCGGATCTTGTACTGCAAGTTGACAAGATCCGCCTCGACTTTTTCGAGCGCAGCGACCTTGCGTTTTACCATCTTGTCGTCGCTAGCGGGTGGTTTTTGAAGCGCAATGCTGTCGAGTTTTTCGCTTTTCCGTTCCTGCAGAACTTCTTATCGCTTATCGAACTTTTTAGTGGGGCCAGCGCCAAGATTTGCGGGGCTCAGCGGGGAATTCGTCGATGCCAGCCCCCGTTCGAGAAGCACCTCAGGCGTGTTCAAGGAGAGCAGATTCAAATTCTAAAGGGCAATCATAGAGGAATTGAAAGTAGTGGATTGTGTTAAAACTATAGACGCTATGTTGCATACACAGAGACGATAACCGTATGCCCCAAGACGAGGCTCTCCATTGCAGCTCACTAGGTACCTGTGAGATAAGGCCGAGCTTCCTCATGAAGGCACAGCAAAACAGCAAAAAAGAAAGCCGAGTTTCGACGGGAATTGAGCCCGACGTGGGGGTCGAACCCACAACCTTGAGATGAGTGAAATTCTCCTCTTTAAGAGTCTCACGCTCTACCGATTGAGCTAGCCGGGCGAACGGCGTTGCTCGGCTGTTGTTGAATGGGGGTCAGTTATTTGTCTTTATGACATGCTGGTTCTGGTGGGAGGCATGTGTGCGGTGGGTCCTTGGGCGGTGAAGCAGATAAGCTACCCGATAGGGTTTGCATCGAGACAGTTTTCTGCATTGATTCGACAGGCAGAATATTTGTAGTTGGGTCAATGATTTGTGACAATCTCGTTTCGATGGTAGGAACAACGACACTGGATTCTCTTGCTACATACTCTTGCTGAGTTCTCCCCCCAACTACGCCTCCGTCACATACTCAAGCAAACTCTCCAGCAACTCCAAGCTCTGGTGGTCCGCAATGGCCGCACAGTGCCTCGCCGTCATAATATCGACCTGCTCCTTCGGTTGCATCGCCGGCGGGGTGAGCGCCCAAGCAAACCCATGCAGATGATGCTTGCGATACTCGTCCCAGACATCCTTCCTCGCCAGCTTCGGCCCGCCCGCCGCGTGCAGCGCAGCCAAGTAGTGCTCAAACAGCTCGACCTCGCTAGCCCTCCTATCCTCGATCGTCAACGCTCCCGTGATGAAGTATGTCACGTCATGTAGGAACGAGTTCGCATGCAAGCCCTGCCAGTCCAAAAACCCCGGCTCGCCGGCGGGCGTAACGAACGTGTTGCCGACGTGCGCGTCGCCGTGCGCAACGGCGACATGGGCCGGGTTGGTCGTCCGCCACAGCGTCTTGAAGGCGCGGATGATGCGCAGCCGGTCCTTCATGTGCTCCGGCACCGAGGGCGGGCAAGCCACTGCGTCGTAGAAGCGCTTCGCCCACTCCGACTCGACCATCATTGACAGGATCACCTCCCGCAGAGAGAGGCCCTCCTTGAGCCATGGGAATTTGGCGGGCTCGGCACCCCATGTACGTGCGTGCAGAAGGGCGAGCTGCTCGACGCCGGCGCGGACCCGGGATACCGGCCAAGCAT